ACATCATATGGTGTGGAATATCCCTTTGGTCAGTTGGGGTCAGCTGTCCCAGCTGTGTCCCCTCCCAGCTTCTTGTGCGCCCCCAGCCTACTTGCTGGTGGGGGGGGGTGAGGTGAGAAGCAGAGAAGGCCTTGACTCTGTGTCAGCGCTGCTCAGCAGTAACGAAAACATCCCTGGGTTATCCACACTGTTTCCAGCACAAACCCAAAACACAGCCCCATACCAGCTACTATGAAGAAAATTAACTCTGCCCCAGCCAAAACCAGCACAGACTGCTATCCATTAACAGAAAAAAAGAGATTTTCAATTTATGTGGAGGAAAAGAAGGATCATCTAGAATGAAGATGCCAAGGAGGTTCCTTGTTTTCCCCAAAATATCCACAGCTAGAGCTGGAAGCCCAGTTTCTAGAAGGTTCTGCCTCGCCAACAGTAAAGTCACAATCTATCTAGACTTTTTATAGCTGAGGCAGGGCTCCAAAGTCACTGTATTTAGAAAACCCTGCCTGGCATTCAGGGATCTTCCTGACTTGGCAGTCTGTCTGTTCTGGGGGCACCTCCCTGCCTTCTTTAGAGTGAGCCTTACCAAGCCTTCAGTTCTGGCCCCAATGCAGTTGTTCTTCATATTTTCCCATTTTGGGAATATGTAATATATTTATTTGGAAGCAAACAAACCAACCAACCACCTGCCAAAACAAAATGAGAATTGTAGAACTCCCTCCTAAAACTAAATCTCTTTTCAGAAGCAGGGAGAAGGAAAAGAGCGCGCGGGTCCTTGATTCCAATAGCACCTGCTCTGCCTGGTTTGACATACTTGCATGAGCACCTTTTACCTCCCCATCCCTCTCTCATTTCCCAGAAAGGCAGGGACTGCGTTGTACGCAAGGAGCTCCTTGAGAAAACACAAAAGCATTGAAATGCCTGACCAGCCATAAACAGATTTGTGTGAAATACGCTCTTGCAAGACTCAGAAGCTGATTCTCCACGCAAGCAGAGCAAGCTAATAATATTCCTAGCAGAGATCCAGAATCCACTGCACTGCTCGATTCTCTACCATCTTCCACTGCGCTCTTCGTATTGTTTTGATTTTTCAATATGCAACAAAGTGCAGAGATGGAAGAGCTCTCCATTTCCATTTGTTGAAGAACTCTTAGCAAAGGCAGCAAAACAAAATTATCTGAATTTTAAAAACCTGTCAATCTCCCTAGCATATTGACTTTCCCTTTTCAGAGCTTTTGTAATAGCACTTCCAAATCTCTGCTTTATGGTATCAAACAAAATTAAGCTCTACTACAAAAAATTTTTCAGAAGCCAAGTTCCTCCCTTCATATACAGATAAGAACCTAACTGAAGGACAGGACATTCTGAAGTTTTCTGCCATCTCCAAATTTGGGACCACATAGGAATATTACATACCTGTTGCTTTTAAGTTTTCAAGATGGTACATATTTTTTTTGCCTTACTCCTGTTCCGCCTGCCTTGTTCATCCAGTTTATGATATCCCCGATAATACCAAGCACTATGGCAAGAGTACTTGTCAAGCAACATCTTGAATTATTTTATCATCACAAGTTGAAGTTTTGCAAAAATAAATGCCTGTTCGTATTCCCCTTTCAGGAGCTAAAAGAATCTACTTAAGACTCAAGTAAAAATGTAATACCCTCTTTTTATTCTCAGAAAAGAAAACCCACCAGCTGCAAACTTATTTCCATTCTGGCACAAACTTAGAGTAGGTCCAGCATTTTAACAGATCTTATTATGGGAAAGAAGTGTCAATGAAGTTGTAATCAAAGAATTTTGGGAAATAAATGCAAAAACTCTCCATTAACAACAAGCACCTTTATTGACCATCTTACCATTCAACACTCATTTCTTTCAATCTCCTAAATTGATGAACTACAGTCCAGTTTGGCATTTAAAGAAAAGAAAGATATTTCAATTTGACTTATATAAAAAGTGTTATACCTGGGTGGCACAGAATTAAAGTACTGTTTAAAAAAAGCCATAGACACAAATAATCACTACCTGCGATTTTGAAAATTAAGCCCCATATATTTCAAAGTCAAAATTAGCACATATCCTCCATATGATGTTATGCTTGTAAAAATGCCTACAAAAATCTGTTTGTTCAGAAGGCAGAGTGGTCGGAAAGTATTTTCTAGTTCACCATTTAACAAATGACATCACTTCACAAAAACAACTAGGCAGCAAAATATTTTAATGTGTGGAATTCAGCTGAAAAAAAACCCTGACACCATATAGTGTCCCAATGATTTCAGTAGGCCAGAGTTCAGCACAGCAACAAATCTTTGTAGTACAGACTAAAATGCAGCTACGCATCATTTGTTACAAATATTTAATTCAGTGCTCAGGAAATTTAAAAAAATCAAATACACCTAGGAATCTAGTAGCCAGGTACTGGTTATTCCCACTTTTTTTTTCCCTTGCTGTTTTAGAGTATATCTTCTTATATCTATGTTACAAAGGGTATGCTACTTCCCGGTGTTTAAAACCTCTTCAAAATTTATTAGCAAACTTCTTGAGAAGCAAGAAAATTGCCTTTTATAAAGAAGAATTAAAATATTTTTTTTTTCTATCTTCTTCTGACCTTAATATTAAACTTCTACTCAAGCCAATAAGAATAAAATTAACCAGAGCTATTGTGCTGCAAGGACACCAATTTCTATGCCAACATAAGTATTAAGGCAAAATCATTTAACTTATCAAGTTAGCGCTTGAGTGTAAATTAAACTTCTTCTGAAAGTCCTATACCCTACACAGGGTACGTTTTTCAGCAGTATTCAAGAAGAAGTAAAACTCCATCTCAGGAAATACTAAGAAAAGCTACTAAGTCCTTCCTAAGACATGCAAAATGACATTTCCTGGAAAGGCAAAAATCATGTGGTTTTCTTCCTTTAAATTTCCCCTTTCTGCAGGATGGAAAGTTATTCTAACGAGCAAAAAAAATTCATCACTATTACAAAATAGTGTTGTCTCCTCATGTCAGTTAGACTTAAGTTCTTTATCAGCATAAAGCATCTGTATGAAAGCTGAGAAAGGGAATTCAGTTTCTAGCAGAAATTCATTTATACCCATGCACAATCTCCCCCCACCCCCCCGAAAAGAAATCCAATGTGAGAAATAATCCTTTAAAACAAGGCCATTAAAAAAACAAAAATAATAAATAGAGCAGGAAAGCCTAAGCAAAGACATACATTACTGAGACAGTGAATGGGATTGTTAGAAGAGATGGGAAGTTAGACCTCTGTATGACTTTCACATGGCTGAGATCCTGGTTTTCTAGTCTGCTTGGATCATGAGGTTCTCAAGGCAGAACTAGGGATTTATTTTTTTATTCCCCTTCCCTGCCTGTGTTTTTAAAGGCATCAAAGATATCCAGGATGCAGTAAACATTTCATAAGGCTAATACAACTAAACAGTTGACCAAAAACTTGAGTTTGTTTTGTGAAATACTTTAGACTAAAAAAATGGAATAGCTTACATCAGAAAGGCAACACACTTCACTCTTAAATCAAGAAGAATTTTTGCTTGGATTCAAGCTCCGCATTTCTTATTACACATAACACAACTAGATCCCCCAGCTACATTTTTCCTCCATTAACTGTAACTTAGTGGACAAAGTCTCAGCATACATCCTAGTTACCAAAGTCTTACTTTGGAAAAAATTCAGTTGTGAAATAGTTGCATACAGGTGAAGGCAGACTCCACACTAAAAGGAGTGTTATTAATTACTATGCAATTTTTTTATATTCCCTGTTCTGGACAGAATTTATACATCCTTTCTAAGATGCAAGTGTTTTTGTTAATCAGCATTAGGATAAGAAAAAAAAAGTAAGTCTTTTCACCCTTTTTATTAAAAGGAGAAAGTCAAATACAAAATTAAACCAGGTATAATCAAGATTTCAATCTTCCTTCACTGAGGTACTTAACATTTTGAAACCTGATGATTGTATCATTTATAAATAAATGTATCAACCATCTTGAGACATCAAATCATATAATTCATAAATATTCTAACAGAGTAAGAGAATTAATCATGGTATACACCCAAAAAGTTAGATGATACATTGATATTATAGTAAGGTTTTTATGGTTCTGAATGAGCATAGATGACAAAGTGAAAACTAAAAAGCAATTAAAGGTACTCAATAGCTCTTGAAGTTTTATGTCGCTGCAAAACACTTTTTTTAGGGACTGAAATCAATGACATCAGTAACATAAGGGGAAACAGAGGCTCACTTTAAATCTAATTCACAACTCTACTTTGCTAGTAATCCCAGGAATAATTTTTTTTCCCATAATACTATGTCCAAGAAGTGTAGCTTTTTCAGTGATATATTTTTCTACAAGCGAACTTTCAGGAGACACAGTAAAACAAGGAAGGCTCAAGTTTTCTTTTATCTCCTTAACAATTGGGTGCACTTTGGCACAAGCGAGCTCAAGGTAACAAATCCCTTGAAAAAAAGGAAAGGGGAGGGTGTGAATGTGATGTTCATGAAGGATACAAGCTTGATAGCCCTAAACACCAAGGTCTTCCTTTAATTCATAAGATAGTTACTTTTTTGAGTTGATGCCACACTATCTCTTCTTAGCTACTCATTGTCATTTGTGATAGCGAGTGTTGCAATACCGACACAGGTCCCTTGGCCTCTCCAAACTGAAATAACTTGCTCTGGGTCTTGAAAACAAGTAAATTCTCATTGTCATGTCTTCAGGCTGGAGCAGAATTGTAATTTTGTTCTACAGTGATACTTACAAAAGAATAAAGCAAACTGGAAGGCCCAACTGGTACCTGGAAGACTCAAAAACGTTTTTGAGCTTTTCTTCATTTGCAGGAACTTTTCATACCTGCTAAGCCAATGCAGAAGTATGTGAACGATAGCTGAGTTTCTTAAAAACAGTCACATCACCCAGGAACACACAGCATCTGCTCAGTCCCTAATCACATTTGAAATAAATGTTAAATTAAAGAACTACCTCCTATGATCTGCTTGTGCAATGTCAGACCAACTCTCCATTTCTAAAATGGAAGCTATTTTTCAAATAGCCACCTAACTGAATAAGCTGAGAAAGAGCAGAAAATAAAAAAGCAGATGGCGACAATTTCTACAAAGAATCTTTAAGAGCACATACGTTTAAGTCCTGATTTTGTTACCCAAACTTTTTGGGTCACTGTCAGTCAACATTTCTTGCAGACCATAAGATACCCTTAGAGATCTTTACTGAAAATACTGTAAAGTTGATAGCATTTAGTGACCCAAATATAAAAACCACGGTTTGTGGATCCATCATTTGGCAAAAGTTATCTTAGGGAAGGGAACATGCACAGGATATTATCATTACTGCATGACACCCTTGATATTTTACAACTTCACAGAACAGTTCGTTCCTTAAGCCCCAGAAATGCCAGAAAACAGTCACTTTGAATTATTTTTACAGCTGGAAATCGGCATTTTTTCAGAATTTAAAATAGCTGTAGGTAAACAGAATTAGCAACATTTGTTCTGAACAAAGCAGCACATTCTGTTCCCCCTGCCCCCTCCCCAAAACAGAGGCAAAACGCAGTTACTTTTCTCATCACAGCTCCCAGGCCAAGGACACTGAAGCTTTGCAGATTGCAAATTCCTCCATGCACATGACGCAGTTATACGACTGAGCAGGGTATCCAGCACAAAAGCATTTACCAAGTGCTGAGAGGTTTTACTCAACATCCACTTTTCCCATGTACATTAAGAAGAAATTTAAGGTATTATGCTGCACTTAAGATTATGCAATTTTAATGACAACAAAATCAACAACATATCAGAAAAAAGAGAAACGGATACTGTCCAAGATTTTTTAAGAGATCGGTTGAGATAAGACATCCAAGAAGAACTGACGCTGGACAAAAACATTTCAAAAAATCCTTTAGAGTTGTCGGACTTTTTTATCAGTGCTTTTAATATTGACGTCCAGTGCCTCTACTTTTTTTGTTAGCCGATCCAGCGTATCATCTTGCTTATCTATTTCTGTCTGCAGACCAAGAGCTAGGTTTTTCAGACGACTCAACCCAGAAGACATCTCATCTGTCAACGAAGAGAGGGGCCATAAGGAATCAAAGCCGTATAAAGCATTCTGTTTAAATGGACACTATCAGGATTCCCTCTTCTCCAAAACACTGCGTTAGAAAATGTTAGTTACAACTGCTCAAGCCTGAGTGTTCTTCTCCAACAGTGGAAGCACCGGTATTTTAACACTTCTACCACATTACTACCAGAAATAATCACTTCCTTCTTTTTTCCATTACAAGTCAACTACAAATGCTTAAAACCAAATTGGATCTTTATAAAATTACATACACTGTAATGTAGTTTTTACTTTTTTTTTTAAAATATTTTATAGAAAATTGGGTGCATCTTTTCTCAGCTCAGTATACACAATATGCTCACTACCTCAATTGTTTATCTTTAAACTTCATGCAGAGATATCATCAGTACACTGAAGACCTAAGCAGTTAATTATTTAACGTAGATGGAAAAATCCCATTTCCAGATTTTCTAATTTGGCTACAAGGAAACTGTTTTACTGCATGGTTGATTGGTATAAATACTTCTGAGGCTAGCAAGTTTTGCATGGTTTGGGAGTAGAACAAATGTGCTTCCACTAACTCTTATGCTTGACTATTTCTCTTTGATTTACTCCTTTCTGATTTCTTTCCAGTCTCTTCTTTCTAGGTCAGCTAAACAGTGACACATGCAAGCAAAGAGGCACTTTGTATATATGCTACAGAACAAAGGAAGAGAAAGACAGCTGAATGTTTTTGGGAAGTAATAAAAGAAATGTAGTAAATTCACAAATTAAATATTTAGTGCCTTTCGATTCTTCTATTTGCTGCAAAACATGCTTATTTCACAAGCTGCGCACAGTTGTAAATTCTTTGGGTCCAAACTGATGTACAATTTAATATCTGAGTTTAACTGTCAGTTAGGTAAGTTGAATGCATCTTTCAATGTAAGTGGTAAGCTTTAGAAAAAGAGGTAGTAAGTATCCATACTGGTATAATCTGGATGTCAATTTGCAGCAGTATTTCCTTATTAATATTACTAGTACCTGCTTAGCACGGTTTTTCAGAATGGATGGATAAGCCTGCTTGTCCTAGTGATATTCCAGTCACAGGACGATTCAAAGAAACATTTTCGTATCCTGAATGCAAGTGTTATGGGATACTTCAGCACCATCTCCTCATTCAAATGACAGAGATTTGCTAGCATATTCACATTTGGTAAGTGTTTTTCTTATTGTCAATATATGATCTAGGGGGACTCATGCTTTTGGTGTGTTTTTTCTTCCCCCGGTCTCTTTGCTCAGGGACAGTTCAAAAATCTAACTATTTCTAAAGCACAAGCATGTTGCAGAAGAGTTGAAGTATTGATGCCAATGGCGTATCAGTTTCCACAGTAGGTTTATACTATTCCAGGCATCCTAGCCAGTTTGTTTCTAGCTGGTTTCATGTGAAACACATTTCTAAATCAGATTTGTTATTAGTATTTGCAAGTAGTTGACCCACAGACATCCCACAGCATTCTACCATTCAAATAACGTATGTTTCAATCAGACTTTGGATTCTGCCATGTAGATAGTTTTGAAATGCAGAATACAAGCCAATGATTTTTTTCTAATTATCAAATTTCACATGTGAACTAAATGAAAAAGTGTTTGTTGGCCATATATTACTTAGTCATCTTCTGTGGCTTAAAAACCAAAACCTGAATATTGTATTACATCAAACAGCTTCAATTTTCTCACTCACCTAAGTTGTTATCAATTTTCTGGTGGTAAGCTCGCAGTTGTTGGTTCTTCGGATAGGAATCCCTTTGCACTGAAGAAACTAAATCTGCTTTGCTGAAATCATTGTCTGTTAAGAGTATGAAATACAGAATATTATGTAATAAAAAAGCTAGCAAGGAGAGGCATTGCAGTTTTAGAAGGGCTATTAAAAAGTAGTCTGACCACAGCTGCCATGTAATCACATAACCTGTTAGCAGGAGTATCGAAAGTAGTCCAACACCACTATCTACAGGGCACCCCTCAAGACAAACAGTTATTAAGCTACAATTATTCTTTTGCGCTGCCTTTTGTAGTTCTACTAGGCAGTTGAGAGAAAAAAAAGAAAAAAACAGCCACCCAACCAAGAAAGCAGGGAGGTTGGTAACTTCTACCAGCAGTTAGCGTTCCCCCAGGTCAAGCCACCAGAGAGTTAATTCTGCCCTCTATTGGACAGACTTTTAATCTCATGTGGCACGGAATGGAGATTGTTACCAAAAAGCATTTCTTTACTTACAGAACTACAACTATAAAGATACCCTGCTGCCTTCTGACTCTTACTAAACGAAATAATTGAACCTCACCTTAAAAAGGAACAGTTACTTTGTACATAAAAGTCATCACAGAAGTTAATTGTGAGAATGGGGAACAAGACCAAACCCTGCACGCTTCCCTGCGTGAGTCAAGTAATGACTTCAGTATGAAGGGTTATAATCCATGTTTGAAATAACAAGGAAAACATATCTGAAAACTATGACAAATGATGGTTAAAAGAGGAGAACCTCTGAACGTACAAGTGAACATTTTGGCAAGCATAGGACAAGGCTGCCTGCACGTTATGTGGATTCTTGGCTATAGTCTCCTCTGCGCAAATATAAGCACCGGATGTTTTTGAAGTCTTTAGTGGATATAGCATAAATCCCCCACAGGAAGGGCTAAATAAAATCTGTATCCACGTGAAAAAAATTCACGTCTTCAGTATGGGTATAAAGAGTTTTAGGGGAAACAATTCCCTAGAACTCAAAGCCGTGAAGGCTGGGATACAAATCTCCAGAGGTTAGGCAGCAGCGTAAGTCAGCAGTTGGGCAGGCTGCAGGGTCTCTGCCTTCGCCGCTGTGCAAGTTTGCCCCACGTGGATGATAGACATTCAGTGTAAAATAAAGTTAACAGACCTGAATTATCTAGCTTCCTTAAATTTGGATGACATTCCTGGTACTTTGACTCTTGTTCTTTACTAGACATCATTGCTTCTTTTAATCTAGTAATAAAGAAAATAAAAAGAAAACATTTCTATGGACCACAGACCTCATTCTGAATCTGTTAAACAAGAACAGGTATCAAATTTATACAAGAAGAGCAAATTTGTTAGACCTGATCCAGAACATTCCTTTAAAATGAACTATTAGCATTTGTCTTCAGTGAAAGCAGAACTGGTCGCTTTAGTGCTGAAAATAGCATATGGAAACTTTGATATCAAAACCAAAACTGTATCTTCTGTCTTGGAGGCATCCTGTTCCTTTCCTCTAGTGGAGGATGGAGGGGGAAGGGAAGGAGGAAATCAATCCATGCAGCATTACCAGGCTTTACATAAATTTCTCAGCTGAAGAGAGACAAGTACTATAAGACACAGTAATTTCACAGCAATTAATTTTTATTTGCAGCTTTTAATAGAAACTAGAGAAATACACATAATATTTAACTGGAAGCATGTCAATGCTACAAATCATGATTTCCTGATAAGACTGAAGCAAGCATGAAAATTCAGAAGACTCTGAAGAATTACTTGTGTAATTTTGTGTAATTGCTTGAATTAATTTCCCACAAATATAAAGTTATTCTTACCACTACAAATATAAATAAAAATATTTTTCTCAGAGTTAAAGGAAAAAGGTAGCTAGACACCATCTCAGGAGTTTACTTGACAGAATCAACAGATCTTTTAAGTTCTGATTTTCTGGTGACATATCAGAGATGCTGTGGGAAATAAGTCCCAAGTAAAACGTTTATTTTACTTACCTACTGTTAGCACAATATTCAGGGGTTCCATTCTGCTCTGGCTTGCTCTCTGGAGGTTTGGCTTTGAAGTAGTTTACCAAGCCCCCCCAAACACTCTTAATGCTATTTATGTGCCTTTGACTTGTCTTCAAGTCCTGGTCCATTTTATCTACCATCTGTTCTGTGCGCTTCAGTGCCTCTCCTTGACGTACGAGCTCCTAACAGATACCGACAGAAAAGGAGAAGCTAGTAAAGCCAAGATAAACCGAAACATCAAACATTTTTAACAGACACTCTAAAGAAAAATAACAGAGTTCCTTCATCTGTGTAGATTACTTCTAAAGGCATACAGCTTTTTTCCTCACTCCTTTTCCACCAGGGCATTTCAATCAAGAGTTGCTAGCCAGCCATAGCATTAACCAGCTGTAAAATCCTCATCACTACGCAATGCCAGTTTCCTGACACCTACTACAAACAGGATCCAGGAATTTTCTGTATTGACCTTTTGTCAGGTTGACATTTATATCTGTTCTTGATAGAACAAGCATGGCACCAGATGGGTGATGTAGTGAAAATGCAAAAGTTAATGGCAGGGAAATGAACAAGCAGAACTATTTCTAGTTGTGAATGACACCTTCACTGGGAAGGGATACTATTTTCACATTACTGGGATGTTCGTGATAATTTGGAAACAGAATAACCAAAGGAAATAAATGCAAATAGAGTTTTCCCATACTGCAGGAATAATCTTTTAGCTAATACTAAACAGTGCAGGATTTAGAAATTTTGATATATACAATTATGTTATTTTCTAATTCAGCAGCACAAACACTATTCCAAAGAAATCCAAAGATTTATTCTGGCAGGAAGGTTGCCTGCAGCTAACATTAGTGCAAAACAAAAAACTTGCATTCATATTCTCTCTAAACTTTGGGGAATCCTAGTTGAATATTCTCCCTCTCCCCCCCCCCCCCCCCCACACAAACACAACCATAGAATCCCCTTAGCTTATTTGGCAGTGTTATAATCCTTTCTCTCTTCTGTTCCTTTAAAGGAAACCAAACTTTATCTTCATGTGCCAGATAAGATCATTAGAATAACTGAAGAGATTATTTTCTGATTGGAGATAAAGACAACAAATAGAATTCTCAGATGAATTTACTACTTCAGTGCTCAGTGACACCCCCCCCCCCCCTCCCAATAAAGCAGCAAACACATACAGTTGAAGTTCTATCACAAGCCCTACGTTAAGCCTCAATTCTTGATTCCTCATTTGTGCTTTTCTGGACAAACACATCACGAGTCCGCAAGCTCGCAGAAGTGCCACCGAGAACCCTCTTCGGCACAAGCACCTGCTGCAGCTTGTGGATGCGCTCGGGTTAATTTAGGCAACCTCGTTACCAACGCTCGAGGAAACATCCCATTAGCAGGTGACACAAAGGACAAGCTCTTTAGGAGCGACGCCTCTGAGCATAAACTCTATTCTGAAACAAGGCCAGAAGAATGAAGGAAGTGATTAATCGGGACGAAGGGAGCACATCACAACCAACTAACAGGGCAGGCTCTTCATTTAATCAAGAGAGCTGCTGGAAACTTTTTAGTCAGATAAAAATAGGCATAGATGCCATTAATAAGACTTAGTAAGAATGGTTAAAAGCAGCTGAAAACACAGCCAAGACCTAGTCTCAGTATTGTACAGATAGAGAGGATCCAGCTGGGAATTTTTCCTCAAAAACCAAACCGCCTCCACCCAGAAAATCAGTCTGCAGTAACACAGAGGGATATGTTATCTCCGAAACACTGAGTGACTCCAAAAAGAGACGTTTCGGGAGACTTTCAGGGGAAAAAGGGAAAACAAGACGCGCACCCCC